GGGGGGGGGGGGGGGGGGGGGGGATGTGGTTCCACGTCATCCCTCGACGTTCCATGAGCGTCCAATGTGGTACAACGTGCGGCGGCTCGAGTCATGCCGAGGGGGTCGAGACCATGACGAGGAACGCGAGATTTGCGGACCCGATGCGAGGCTGCATCGGGAATGCTGCGTCGGAGGTGTCTATTTAAAAACGGACGGCCGAGGGGTGGTGACGTCATGTGCGCGTTTAAAGTGCCGGAAACGTGGGGAAGGCGAAAGAGTGATTCCCGATCAGCGCTTCGCATCGACGTCAACATCTGCCTCGCCCATGCAGGCGCCAGTGTGGCTTGAGGCGTGTGACGAACTCGGGCGTCGTCAGCCGCACCCGGCTGGTCCGGGTGATGGCATTCGGCAGCATCGATGTCCCGTGCCCGCCCAAAACCCCAGTCCCAGCCCCAGCCCCTGTCTGCTGCACGTTGGGTCGAGCTCGCTTGTCGGCCAACCGTGTAACCACCCTAGGGTCTGGGCGTACCACCGTGCAAGACCGGGTGTAAGGGTCTGCTCTTTGCCACAAAGCGCCTCCATATCGCAGAGTACAGGTGTGACGTCAAGTAGCGGCGCTGCGAAGAGCCGGACCGACAGGCAGGCCGCGAGGTGGTTGTTGTGAGTTGGGCCGGTGAGGTGCACCGCTGCAACGCCCATTCACATGCGGCATTGTCGAGCGGAGCCAAGCAGCCGGGCCTCGGTATGCCAAGCAGCACGGCGTTGGCTGTGCTGCAGCGCCGGAACTAGAGGACTTGCTGTGAGTAGAATGTCTAGGCGGCTTCGGCATGCAAGCATGCACTGTGACGGCTGGCCAGCTGTGTCGGTTTCGGCCAAGCGGAGTTGCACGCCGCATCCCCGTGCGAGCACCTACGAGGCTCTGCATGCCGTTGGTGGAACCCAGCCAACACACCCTGGTTGCCTCCACATCCCTTGGGGCTCACCTGGCCTAAGCGGGTCACGTTGTGGCTTAGACCAATCCACCTTACCCCCCGTGGCGGCGTAAAACACATATAAACCCGCCCAAGTCTCACTTCTGCCTTCATCGCCCCATCCACACATACATCCAACCCTTTCCTTACACACACCAACCCAAACAAACTATCCAACATGTCTGAGCCCTCGAAGATGAACGGGTAAGTTGCTTTCCTGCACGTCGATCCGCCTTGTCATCGACCGTGTCAACTGACACAATCGCACCTTGTCCCAATGTAGCAACTACAACTCGGTCGCTGGTACCGTCAAGGAGACCATCGGCAACGCCACCGGCTCCACCGAGTGGCAGAAGGCCGGCAAGGAGCAGCACGCCAAGGGCGAGGCTGAGATCAAGGCTGCTGAGGCCAAGGGCTACGCCGAGGGCACCAAGGACCAGGTCTCGGGCAAGGTCGACAACGTCGTTGGCTCGATCACCGGCAACAAGTCCAAGGAGATGGAGGGCAAGGCCCGCGAGGAGTCTGGCAAGGCCCAGAAGGAGATCAACTCCTAAACGCCTTGCGATTATGCTCGGTCGTGAGCGTTTCATAGCTCCTTCCGTCTTGCAATAATATACCAAGCCATTTCAACACCAAACACTTGTCTGCGTCTTACTACGAGCGTCATGATCATCATGAGACTGATACCGGGCAGAACGGAGTGTTTGATCCCACGTCGCTGTGGTTTGGATTAGACTGGGGTCCTAGTAAGTGTGTCGTCCAGCAAGGATGACTGCTGTGGCAGCGACGACGAGCGCGCCGACGAGGAACGCTATCGCCGAGACTGAGTAGCAGCAACACGGGTGGTCAGACGCTGAAGTGGATGCAGAGGGGGTATATGGAAAGGATACGTACTTCCGAGTCGGGAGGGTATGAACTTGCCCTGGACGAGCGTGGCTTGGACGGCAAAGTATCGGTAGCAGCCGAGGCCGAGTGCAATCACGCCGAGCAGGATGAACGAGCCACCGAGCGGTTTGCCGCTGTAATGCCAATCAAGTATACCCGGTCAGCCTCGAGCTGCACGGTACGGACTTTGTCGGAAAAGTGTGTGACTTACAGCTTTGCGATGCTGGCGAGTCTCTGGGAGAGGAGGATGTGTGGAGGCAGCACGGCATCTTGACCCAAGAGTTTAGCCTCAAAGTCGAGGTACGCAGCGCCATTGTGTGCGTCTGGTGTTCCTACGAGCGACGGAAGCTGGAACAGCTGTGTCACGGCACTGTCCGACCACACCAAGAGTCAGCACGATCCAAAAGCAAGAGCGAGGAGACGGGCGGGACATACATTCCGATGCTGACCAGGCTGAGGCTGGTGCGGAGCCAGGCGAGAAAGGTGCGTTCCGAGGCGAGATGGTCGCGCGCCACGCTGCCCTCGTTCTGCAGCTCGAGGCTGAAGGCGCCGTGGAGGCGACGAAGCGCATCGCGCACCGGACGCACCGCCGCCGACATGGTCCTGATGCGACGGAAGCTTTTGCAGCACTGCTCGCGACTCGTGGTGGTGTAGAAGCAGGCCGCTGCGGATGCGGACAATGGTCCATGCGCCAAGCGCCAAGAGCCGAAAGTGGAGCCAAGGCGGAAAAAAGCACGTCAAAGCGGCTGCAGGTTGTGTGCGACTTTGGCCGTCCATCTGTGCGAGGATTTTGAGGAGGTAAAACGATGTTAGACCGTGTAATTTTTGGCTGAAAATGCGGCAAAATGGAGCTGTCGAGTGACGCGCCTCCACACCGTGGTGATCCGTGCGTGGATCATAGGGGCAGCGTAGCGCAGCGCAGCCTTTTGGAAGCGGCGCGGGCGCAAAGCAGACCCACACAGCCTCGTCCGCTGCGTCACTTCAGACTCCACCCACACCCGTCTCCCTTCCTTCCATCTCCACCGCACCCACCCACACACACACACAAGGGAAGAGGATACACCCACGCAACTCCCTCTGCTCCCCTCTTCTTTCAACATGCCCGCCCAGGCCACGTTCCCCTACCTGGCCAAGGCGACCATCAAGTACAAGAGCCCGCACAAGCAGGACCTCGCTTTTGCAAAGGGCGACACCATCCGCGTCACCGGCATCGCGCCCAAGAACGACGACCAGGATGACGATGACGACGATGACGACGACTGGCTCGTTGGAGAGACGCTAGACGGTTCTCGCAGCGGCACTTTCCCTGGCAGCTTTGTCCAACCCACCGACGAGCCAGACACGGCGCAGTCGCACCAGGCGGACGCTGCCATCGCCGATGCGGTCAATCCACCCGCTGCACCTGGCGCCATTGCCGCAGAAGTTCCCGAACAGCTGCAGAGCTCCGCGGTCGAGCAAGAGCCGACGCATCAAGCCGAGGTCGTCCCACAGGCGGCTCGAGAGGCAGCACAGAAAGGCGAGACCGAACAGGCGGGCTTCGGCGCGCCCCTCCCACCTCGTCCGCCTTCGCCAGGCCAGCAGGACGATGATCACGAGCCGCCCCCCACCGCACCAGCCACAGAGCCCAACTTCGAGTCCAGGTCGGCAGATGCGCCCAGCACAACCGCTCAAGACTCTGCAGCCACCAATGTAGCTGCTGGCTCAGCTGCCGCTGGTGCTGCCGCCGCCGCCGCCACAGCTTCAACCTCGCCAACAAAGTCGCCGCCTGCCGTCGCCACAAAGCCCGCTGGCATGTCCAGCTCCTTCCGCGATCGTCTCGCTGCCTTCAACAAGCCTGCAGAGTCCGCTCCGCCGCCGCTTCCCAAGGCAAAACCTGGCGGATGGAAGAGGCCCGCTCCCGCCTCCACCGAGTCAAAGCCTTTGCTCCCCGGTGCTCCCGCCGCTGCATCTTCCACCGCTAAGCCATCGATCAACACCAACCTATCAACACCATCCGAGCCGCGCCAAGCGTCGTCCCCGACGGTCGAGTCTCCCTCGGGCGCAGGCGGAGCCTTCAGTGCCGCCGACGCACAGAGTAGCATCAAGATGAGCCTCAAGGAGAGAATGGCCGCACTCCAGCGCAACGAGGCCGCAGCTGCAGACGCCGCCCCTCAGCTCAAGCCAAAGCCATCCGTTCCCGGAAAGATCGGCGCCGATCGCAGAAACGTCGCCCTCCAGGGCATGGGTCTGGCTCCCGGTGCAGTGCCTGCACGCAAGTCCAGCACAGAGGCTGTTCCACAGTCCGAAGATGCTGTTGCACCCGAAGCTGCCTCGGAAGAGGCCAGTGCTCCGGCTCCCGCTGCTACAGAATCAGAGGCCGATGCTGCGCCTGAAACCGCCGCTGCCACCGAAGCCGATGCTGCAATCGAGGCTTCCGAGGCGCCCGAAGACGAGCCCGAGGCAAAGGAGCTCACTGAGGAGGAACAAGAGGCCGAGCGACGTGCTGCCATCGCCAAGCGCATGGCCGCTCTCGGTGCACGACGCATGGGCGGCGGTCCCACGCCATTCGGCGCACCCGCTCCGCCTACCCGCAAGGCATCCGCCGGCGCCGCCTCCACCGAAGCCACTTCGTCGGAGCCGGGTATCACGATCCCTGCCGAAGCATCCGCCGCCGCAACCAGCACAGAAGGCCAGGAAAGCTCTCCCACTAAAGATGTTCAAGACGCCGAGGCGCCAGCACAGGCCAGCCAAGAGGCCAGCGAGGAACCCAAGATCCTCGCCGTGCCCAGGCGTACCGCTGCACCTCGAAAGAAGAAGCCGGCCGCGCAAGTTGCGGCGCCTGCAGCTGCGGCTGGAGCCGCGGCCGCGGGAGTAGCAGAGGCAGTCGCTGCCGACGAGCCCGAGCCGGCTGCTCCTGCTGCTGACGCCGAGCCCAGCCGAGAGTTCGATGCGCCCAGCACAGCCGATCCCATCACCAAGACCAGCGAGCCTATCGCACAGGAAGCCGTCCAGAGCGAGACCACCGCAGCCGCCAACGAAGAGCCAGCTTCCGAGCCAGCCGCTCGTGCAGAGGACGCCGAGGTGTCGGCCCCGCTCGCACAACCTCACGAGGAAGAAGCGGCCCAGCTCGACCCCGAAATCGCCGAAAATCAGCGGCAGCTCGAGGAATACTTGCGCAGCGAGGGCTTCTACGAGGACACCGTGGCGCCCGTGACCGAGCCGGCATCCCAGAGTCTGGACGAGCCTGTCGTTGACAGCACTGCCGACCAAGATGACGACGAAGAGACTGCCGCATCAGCCGCAGACGCACAGCGCCAAGAGATCGCATCGCCCAAGCCGCCCAGTCGCCCGCCCAGTACTCGCCCGCCCATCCCCAAGACCGCACTCCCGCCTCCGCCTGCGGACGAGCAGGATTCGGCGCTGGCACGCGCGCAGAGCCCTGCCGCTTCACTCGGCGACTTGGTACCCGCGCGCCGCGCGAGCCTGATCCCTCCCGTGCCCGCCACGATCCTTCCCACGCCCGTCGAGTCTTCCGCTGACGAGGCCGAGAGTGCAGAGCCAGAGGAGAGCGCTGCGAGCACCGGCCCCGTGCTCGCGGCTCCCAGGCCGAGGATGGCCGTGCCCACCGAGGACCCCGAAGACGAAGCTCTGCTTGCTGCGGCCGAGGCGCCGACTTCCACCGAAGAGACCGAAGAGGCCAAGGAGTCTGCCGACGCTGTCGAACCAGCGGTGACTGCTGAGCAGGAAGACGCCGAGCCGCAGGAGCTCACCGAGGAAGAGCAGGAGGCGCAGCGCCGTGCCAACCTCGCACGCCGCATGGCTGCGCTTGGCGGTCAGAGGATCGGCGCGTTCCCCGGCATGGCGCCGCCGCCCATCATGGGCGCGCCCATGCCGGCCAGAAAGGCTCCCATCGAGACTCCTGCTGCGGAAGAGGAGGAGGATGCGACCCTCGAGGCTCAAGGCGACCAGGAGGAGACAGAGACACCCGTGTCGCCGCTCCGTGGACCCCCGAGGGGCGGCATGGCCATCCCCGGTCTGACGGCGGTGCCCGGAATGAATGCGCAGAGCGCCGAGAGCGACGCGCTGGAACGGGCGCGCTCGCCGGGGGCAGCTAGTGTGGACGCGCCGGTGCGTCTGGCGAGTCCGCCGCCTGTGCCTACCAGTCCGCCTCCCGTACCCACCAGTCC